TTAACTGACTTTGGAGAGCCAGCAAGCCCCCTCTAATTCCTTCTGTATAAAAGAGGGAGACATTTGCCCTAAAGATTTATCAGACAGGGAATGCAGGATCAGGAAGTTATGTACAGGTGCACATTGTGGTGAAGACTGTTGTTTGGAGTCTTCAAGGTGTGGTCGTTTACCATTGAGCAGAGTTTTTCAATTTTTTTTTTGGATTTGGGGGATCCATAATAAAAAGAGGGAAATTCAGAGCCCACTGACCCCACCCACCATGGAGTCCTACGAGGGGAAGCACAACAATGTCAAACAAGGACACTGCAGCAATGCCAGGATTTCATGAGCACTATACCCAAACACCAGAATTAGACATGATGTCCACAACACCTGTTGAGAATGCCCAACACTGGTACCTAGTTGACCCTAGCCCAATAGGACCAGCCAATGCACCCTGGGGGCCACCCATCTACAGGAATTTAAGGTCAAAGTGATGTGTTGCATTGCCCTCGACACCACTCAAACACCAGAATCCACTCCTCCCCTTCACAGGTCGCCACGCACTGCAAACACGTGAGTGAATGTTTAGATCCCAGAGGAGGTAACTGAAAATACAGAACCTTCCCTGGGAGGTCCCCTCACCACATATAGGAATCCACCCACAGGGATACAAATGTGTTAATTCACAACAAGATAATACTGGGTAAGCTTAAATGCTTCAATGAGAAAATCATAAGTAAGATGTTATAAAAACAATCTTTTAAAACTACCTACACAGTTATTTTCATATTTCAATAACTTTCTTTTATATATATATCATAAGATCATAATTTATGTGTTAAGTCAAACAGTTGTACCTTTTTCTTTTTCATACCAATTCTTGGTAAAATTTATTTTATACCTCTATTAAATCAGAGCTTGTTTAAGTGCTCCAACTGCAATTACTGTTTATATACTAAAATAATATAAACATTACCATAACAATTGTATATAATGCTTGAAAATATGCAAATTTTAGTTTAAATTCAAGAAATAATTTTTAATATTTTTTTGTCTATAATTATAAAAGTTACAAGTTACTCCACACTACAACTACTAAACCATAATGGATTTTTCGAGTCCAGTTCGTGAAGATGAAAAATATGTAAAATATAGCTAGATAATATTTCTGCATCAAAAAGTGAATTTAAAAAAAAAACCTTACTTCAAAGTAATATGGAGACATGTAAACGTTTTCATTCCAATTTTTTTTTTATTTTCAGAGGAAATAGTATTCACTTAAGATAAGCCCTTTAATGTCAAATGATATCACACTCAATTTTTTACTTTTGAAATCTTGGAGTAAACAAACATTTTTTGTCAAACAATACATAAAATTGTATATATATTAAAATTTGTTCCAAATTTACATTTCTAAGTTTAAAATTAATTTCAAACAGATACTTGCCTCTGAAAAACTCAAAGCCTTTCCTTGTTGAGTTGTTCCTATGCTGTTAATAACCACGTGACTCAAAGTTCTGAATGTTCTCGATGCAACGCAGAGCATGCATCACCTTACTGCACATGCATCAAGAGAATGGGGAATTGACATAAGCCATGCTTTTCCACCATAAGTAAAACTTCCAACTTACAGATGCAATGGAAAACAAAACCACATATCACCCAGTTGTGGGAAGGTGGGTGGAAATGTATTTTCAGAGATAAATATCTGTCTGGAATTCATATTTAAAGTTCAAATCGAGTAGACTTACCTCTGAAATACTGAACACCAGAATACCCACATTAAAAATCAGGTTGAAAGTAAAGTGAGTTCAGATTTGACAAAATATACAGAGTTGGTTACATGGCAGGAATGTAACAACCTAGACCACATTAAAGGTGTGACCAAGCAGAGATGGAATATAATCCAGAACTAAAATTATTTGAAAAGCTGAATTCAAGGGACAATAAATGGAGCAGAGCAGCATTACATAAATATTGGACCTAAGGACAAACAGAAGGAAGAAATTCTTCTCAGCAAGGCACCTCTTCATACTGGACAACCTTTAGTTTTCACAAGCATGCTCAACTGCCCATAGTTTCAAAGGCTGATAGGAGATTCTGATTCCTGAGGTAACCAGGAACCCAAAAGATGGTGCACTCCAAGACAGAACCTCAGCCTTCAAGAGAGGCATCTGTGAAGAGGTGCAAATCTGTATGAAGTGTAAGGAAAAGGAAACCTGTAGTAGTAGGCTCTCAACTTCCTGAAATAATGGGATTGAAGATAGAAGTCGCTGAGAAGCAAGACCACACTGAATGTGTCACATATAAGCATGTCTTCAAAGCGATGAATTTGTAAAGGAAAATCATCACCTCCAAACAAAAGAAATTGTTTTTGTTGGTAAGTATGGAAGACAGAATAATATGGACAACAGACTCCAAGGCTCACAATGCTATAGGAGCCAGATGAAGTATTCTTTAAGTTTACCCGAAATCTCAGTTGTACCAAGTGTTGGTATCAATTAGATTAGGAATTGTGGATGAGCTACTCAAGAGATGTAGCCAGCTGGGCAATCAACTGATTTTGTGTAAGAGATTGAATGGATGAAAGAGCTAGAAAAAGCCAAAAGTTGACACTGACTGAATGTAAGAAAAAAAAACAGCACAACTATACTACTCAGCTGAAAACATATGGAGCTGAAGGGAAGTGCAGACCTCTGATAAATTACCCTAAGATGGCAAAAAGAAAAAATGAGGGAATGATGGATAAGTTATGTCATATAGTGTGTAATGTTGTGTATGCTCACCTCAACTCAACTAAACAAACAACAGCTGCAAGACACAATATGTTAGTGTATGCTCACCTCAACTCTATTGCCAGACTCCTGGACCAACACCAGATGCTGGAGTAGAACATGAAATGCATGTTATAAGGTATGTAATATTAAGAGTGCACGCCTTGACTCAACTGGACAGTCATTTGCTGCAGGAAGAGGTATGTTTTGTTAGTATGTGCTCACCTCAATTCAAATGAATGAGATGACTGCAGGAGGAGAGCTCATGTCTAAAGAGTGTGTTCAACTCGACTCTACTGAATAGACACAACCAGAGGAGGAGGGAACAGTATTGTAGTACAGGCTCACATTGACTTTACTGAGCAATCACAACCTGCAGGAGGAACAAACAGTATAGTAGTACAGGCTCACATTGACTCTGCTGAATAGACACAACCAGAGGAGGAGGGAACCGTACAGTAGTACAGGCTCACATTGACTCTACTGATCAATCACAACCTGCAGGAGGAAGGCACACATCTTAAAACATGCTCTCTTCAACTCTACTGGACAGCTGCAAGCTGCAGGAGGAGGAAACAGTATAGTATTATATACTTCTGGAATGTTGTAGGTATTGAGGTTAATTATATGAGGAATGAACTGAGCTACACTGACAGTGTCACTATTGTCGCACTTCCCTATTCACAATGGCCACCAAATCCTAATTGTTACATAACCTGTGTGAGGATATTAGTCACTCACACAAGTAGTAGAAGACATTACATAAACAAGTTTTCATAGTTTGGAGAAAAAAAGAAGGATTAATTTCCCTAAACACTGCAAACCTTATTAAGTTGACCAATAAAAAGCATGTCTGATATGTTCAGTGCCAAGGAAAAGAATGAAAATTCACAAGTGCAAAAGCAGGGAAGTTTTTCACCCTCCTGTTTTTTTACTGAATAATACTGTGAATATACAGTAACACTAGTCACAAGATAACTCGTGAGATTAGATGTGAGTTGCCTAAAGGTTAGTAGCATACAAATCTCTATAGTAGAAACATGGGGAAGATAGCTTTCTGTGGGAAGAGGTGTGTAGCGTCTTGGAGCTAATTTAAAGAAATGTAATTCAGCCAGTGAAATTCCCTGTATTTTCCTGTTTTTCAGGAAATTTTCAAATTCTCTGTATTTTTCCTCCAGGGAAAATATTTTCGTGTCTTTCCTTGTTTCCCTCTGGCTGGACACCCTGCTCCAAAATCCAGATTTCCTCAAAACAACAAAGGATAAAACCTAAAAAAGTGAGATGAATGATTTAGCTTGTTCCTTACTAAAAGAGATTTGAGACTTACAGATCCAGAATATGTGAGCAATTGCATCATAAGGAAGAAGAAAAACATTAATATTGGCCTGAAGGACCTGTGAAACCCAAAATTGATCATAGATCTCACACAATCCCCCCTCTTAAACAGATAAGATGAGAGATTAATCTGGAACAAAGATAGCTATTGAATGAGTGAAGAATACCCAACTTGCCTACATCTATATTTGGCTGATTGAAAGGAATGAGTAGAAGTAGCTGACCTCAACTATAAGAGGATGTATTTAGAAAGGCAGAACAACCATTACTTTCTGTTCCTTTTTTTTTTTAAATCCTCCAAAGACAAATGATGCAGGAAAGAAGCTCATCCAAAATAAATGAGGAGAGTGCTTTGTTACACAGTGCTACGGATTAAGGTGTCAATGGAAAAATAAGAGTCACATGGTAACAGCAATCTCATGGGATCTCCCTGCATGCTAGAGGCAACTACATGAGTGAGGCCTCCAGAGATGGTATAGAATTTCTAATACAGGTAGCAACAGTTAACGTTGACATTAGGATTGAAAGTGGGAAAAATGAACACCATGGCTGTAAATAAAAAATATGTATTAAGTTGAGAAATAAGAGTTCATGTATGAACTCCTGATGCATGCACAGTAAGTCAGGTGGAAGGTGGTAGTGGAAAATCATAGGCAAGTTGACACATGATATACATTATGTCAAGGACTTTCAAACTCTGGGTCAGCATGAAAGCAAGTCAACAAAGAAAGGCTTTTAATATTTCAGATATAAGTCTACCTGATTTGAGGTTATCTTTGTATACTTAATATAAAATAAAGATGTGAAAACTGGTCTCATAGTTCATTCTAACCATTCCAGTGACCAAAAAAATAGTTTGAAGGCAGAGGAAAAACTAAAATTAAAATAAATTTCTAATTAAAAATCTACCTTCAATCCTTCTCCTGACAGAGCTGAGCAAGCCTGAATCTGCCATGCTCGGTCCAGAATAGCAGGAAGATTTAGACCTTCTGCTAATTCACTGGCTGGTGCAGCATTCAATAGATCTTGTTTATTGGCAAAAACTAACAAAGGGACACCACAGAGTTTTTCTTCAGCCAGTAACTCTGCAAGTTCCTAATGAAGTGAAAAAATACTAATTATTTGAAGCCTATAGAATATTTTTTCAGAAACAAATTTCCAAATCTTTGAACAAAAAACTTGGAAGTAATTTTAAATACTGCACCATAAGTCCAAAAAGAAATACTTTTATTTTATGAAATATGGAGACAGATAACATTGTGCACAAAAAGAGAAGAACATTCTATTTTTCCTGAGAAGAGAATTATACTACTAAACAAATAGGGTTTGACTAAAAAACAACCACACTAATGTTAATAACTAACAAGAGAATGCTTCAGAATATTTATGCATTAAACAATATACCACAAAAATCATGACTTCTAAAGGATTTTATAACTGGGATTACCAGGAGTTTCTTGACAACATACAATCGGATATCTAATGAACATTCTTAATTTCATGTAACTATGCTGAAAAAGCTAAGCTTATATAAGTTTTGAGTCACTAATATATTAAAGATTGTACCAAAGGATGCCTTCACTTATTAACATCCATCACACTGGAGTTGAACAAATGTTCAAATTTCAGTGGTCGAAATATTAAAGTTGCTAACTTCAGGGTAACTCAGATACCTAATATAACTAACCTTGCCAAATAGAAGAGTTGGTCAGGATCACCTGAAGATAAGGTTGCTTCAGGACCCTGGTTACATGTTCCATGTCAAAAAATTCGGAAATAGCAGCAGAAACGTAATTAACAGTTCAGATAAAAATATGCAACTGTGATTAACCTGCTTCAAGTGAGCAGTTCTCTCAACATTATTCGTATTAACCTTTGTAAGTTAAAATAAAAGAGCAGAAGTAGAGTAACCAACTCCAGTCTGAAGGTAGGTGAGGTTTACTACAGATATATAAACATGCCAAAAGTTCCAGACAAATCATGTAAATATAAAGTTGTACTGAGCTGATTAAATAAGTAACTAAATAATGTGAGTTTTTTCAGAAGCAGCAATAAAAAACAGGGCACTTAAGAAAGACATGGAGTTGGTAAGTAAAAGTATCATCTAAATTTTTAAATTAAAGCATATAAATGTAATTTACTGTAGTTTAGATGAAAAGTGTAGATTGAAATCCTCAATAACTAGAACATTTCTTAACGACAAATCTTTTTTAATATACCAGTGTTCTAAAAACATAAACATTTCATGTCCCTCTTCTAAAGTTATACATTAAAAAAACTCAAATTAAGTCATTTAATTGTAGCATAAGAAGATGGAAAATTAGGAAGAGTTACAAACTATTGAAATTAAATGGCTTCAATGGAAAAGCTGTAAGTTACTAGTCATCAAACTACAAAAAGACAGTTGAGAAAAGAAAGAGAAAATATGGTAATTCTTTATCTAATTTCTGTCAAACATTGACATAAAGAATGTACAGAAATAACTTTAACAAAATTTAAAAAAATACTTATTATTTTTAATCCACACTGTTAAGATTTATGTATATTAAGTATATTATGTATATTAAGAGTCTCTTGTTTCTCAATGGATGTTTATAGTTTAAATATCACAATATGTTACTGAGTGTAAGCTGTGAATTAACATCTCACATGACTATGAAACTGGACTCCATCTGAAGATCATAAAATATGGGTAGAGCATCAACCACAATATTTGAAAACAGGATAACCCTTATTTCAAAACTGATATTACCACTGAAAACAGGATAACCCTTATTTCAAAACTGATATTACCACTGAAACAGGATAACTCTGATTTGAAAACTGATATTACCACTGAAAACACGATAACTCTGATTTGAAACTGATATTACCACTGAAACAGGATAACTCTGATTTGAAACTGATATTACCACTGAAAACACGATAACTCTGATTTGAAAACTGATATTACCACTGAAAACACGATAACTCTGATTTGAAAACTGATATTACCACTGAAAACACGATAGCTCTGATTTGAAAACTGATATTACCACTGAAAACATGATAACTCTGATTTGAAAACTGATATTACCACTGAAAACATGATAGCTCTGATTTGAAAACTGATATTACCACTGAAACAGGATAACTCTGATTTGAAACTGATATTACCACTGAAAATACGATAACTTTGATTTGAAAACTAATATTACTACTGAAACAGGATAACTCTGATTTGAAACTGATATTACCACTGAAAACACGATAACTTTGATTTGAAAACTAATATTACTACTGAAAACAGGATAACTCTGATTTGAAACTGATATTACCACTGAAAACACGATAACTCTGATTTGAAAACTAATATTACTACTGAAAACAGGATAAATCCAATTTGAAAACTGATATTACCACTGAAAGCAGGATAATACTAAACAAATTAATGGTGACCACCTTAATAACATCAATAAGAATCAAATTCTCATTCACCAATTTATTGAATGATGGTTAATTTTGCAAAAACTGTTTTATTGTTAGTGGCTGTGCTTTCATTCAAAGTAATGAAATATTAACTGTCTTATGTCTGTCAAAAGTGGAATCTTGAAACCTTTTTACTTAACCCATACAGGTAAATTATTTTATATAATACAGTAGAAAAGTTAAATCACAAAAGGCCAAATTCTCTTTTATCTTATGGCCAATTTAATTAAAACACGCACTATGCTGAATGATGGTATCATTTTTTTCAGCTACAGTTATCCAGAACCATCTCTTCTGTAAAATAATCTATCACACATAAGTTCTCGTAACTTCACAATATCATCATCTGAATCAAGTTTTGCACTAAAAGTGTTATATAAGAATACTGGTGTATTACTTGTTGATTTTGATGGGTAGAGATAGCAACAAATCGTGAGTGTGTGTGTGTTTTCTTCACTTTTCTATGTATCTTAAATGCTGTTTTCAGACTTCACACAATCTTTGACAGCTACAGTACTATGGGAACAGTAAATACCTGTGTTATGTCTCTGTTCATTTGTTAATTTTCCGTAAAAACTATTTCCGAAGAAACTTTAGTGATAGTCCTTTCTTAAATAAAACTAGTTTATTCTTTCTCAATACAACTTTACAATACACTTGATTTCCACAGTCACGCTATAATTTAAACAAATGCTATAATTCACAACGAGCGAACGATTCACGCACTTGACTCAATTGTCGTCTCTATCTCTGTCTCAAATTCAATTACATTGTTGCCATCACTTCTTGGCGGTCTTATATACAAGAATACCGAATATCTAGTAAACACTCGAGGCTTCATGAAGGGACATGAATTTTCTAGAAGCACATGATGTGTTACTAGTGTCATGTGACTTCCACTGTCGTAACACTGCCCTTTCCTTAGTATTGTTCGTCCCGAACACTATCCACT